TTTTTTTTTTTTTTGTACATTGAGAAAAATAACATATATAAGAGGAAACTGTAATTTATCGAAATAATTGCTATTATTCATTATCCATCTTCATTGACACGTAAATTATATTCCTTAATCAAGTGTTAATAAAGAAAATTTTCCATGATGATTTTTAAAGCTTTGAAATAATAATTTTTAATTCTTTTTTTTTTCATTTTAATTTTATGAAAATTGAATCTTGATAAATAACGATAAGTTAATAAAAATATTCGCTCATTAATCATTCATAATATTCATTCAATTTAATCTCCAAATAACTTTATTACTCTCGTGAATACCTCATCAAAATTTCACCCGTTGCTCAAGAAACTCGCAGAATTTCGTATCGAGTGAAACCAGGAGGAGGCCATCGCGTTATAATCATCGATTCGTACGTAGTTATACGAAAGGACCGAGGAATTCTTTGGAAACGAGATTCCAACACGATCGGAGACGTCGTGACAAGAGACGACAGAGGCACGCCTGAAACCCGAGGGCGATGATCATCGACGCGAGCAAGCAGCTGCTGGCTGGAGTCGCGTCATCATCTGCGTGATTGCCTTTGATGTCGATCATTCTCTCTGGTTTCGAGACAGAGGGCCAACGCAGCGTTTCGATTCTCCATTTTTGCACCGCCCACGTATCGGTTGACTTGACGCCGTAGCAACTTGGTCACTCTACCATTATTGTTGTGTTTCTTTCTTCACGCCCTTTTCATTTTCGACTCTCCAAGATCTGCTCGGCTGTCCATAAAATAAGGGCTTCTGTATAATCGTCATACATTGATAGAATAATAATATGACTTAATAATACGATTCTTCAATTCCTTTATTTTTCTCTTATTTCCTTCTCATCAATTGTGATTCAATTATTGTGAGATATCGAAAGCTTGAAAAAGAAAAAAATTTAATTGAAAGTAAAAATCGAATATTATACATCTTTTTAATTAAAAGACAATTTAGTGGAAAAATGAGGAGTTTAAATTTATCAAAAAAAGAAAAAATTATTTTTGAGTTATTTTATACTTACAAAAATTTATTATACAACTTTTTTTCATGAATCTTTTAACTTCTTCGACAGAATTAATAAGATATTAACGGACTTGGTCATTTTATACAAAGGGTATTCACAATCTTTCAAAGGTTCCTTTGCAAGAACTAGAAACTGTCGAGTGGAACTAATCGTGGCAGCTGGAGAAATAAATTATTTCTTCGATGCAACAAAGCAAGGGGACTATTCACCTAGATTCTCTTTGATCGAGTTGAAAATGAAAAGATTAATATATTTTCACTTAAAAGATTATTATTCCCCTGGAGTAACAGAACAAGGCCATAAATATTCAGCGATTGAATCCAATTCGAAGAAACAAATTAAATTTCCAGAAGTTTTCGATGCTGACACGTTCAATAGCCAAAAAATCCTGTAATGCACACAGTATTAATAATAAAAAATATATTGTAAAAGGAAATAAACATATACTTACTTTCTATATATACATACATGTAATTAAAAAGCCCGCATGGGTTTTTATTTAATGCAAATTGCTGTTTCTCTGAAGGTCGCATATATTTTTCCCAAGCAAAAAAAGAAAATTGAAAAATGATCACGAAAACATATGCATTTTGCAACTTGATAAATAATCGTGAATTGTTCCAACTTGTCCAACCAATGTATGCATTATTTGCTATAAAAGAAAAAGAATCCTCTCCCACTGTGAATTTCTACAAATTTATCAAGAAACGATAAAAACGATACCTCTGTAGAAAGTTTTCTTTGCAGTCTCTCCTTTGTTATCCAACATTTATAATATATATATATATATCCACAAATAATAATATAACCTGTAATATATTAAAATGAAAAAGTTAAAAACGATTTTTACAATCTTTGGAAAAATTGTTTTGAGATATATAAAT